CCTGGCTGGTCCCCCCGCCGGAGCCCCGAATCCTGCGGGGAGGGGGTGAGCGTGGCGGCCGCAGGGTGCAGGGCAGGCCCGCCCTTCTCGGGACGGCCAGGGCGGTGGGTGTCGCCCCCTGGGCTCCAGGACCTGAGCTGCTGGGCAGAGCTCTGGGCCCTGGGGCAGCGCAGGAGCGGTGGCCGGAGGGGCTGCAGACAGGGTGGCCTGGGGCAGCGGCCCCGTGGGTGACCCCTCCCCACCGAGCGCCTCACACGCTCGCCTGCGGCTGCTCCCAGTTCGACTTGCTGGAGATGGACCGACTGGAGAGGCCGCTGGCCACGCTGCCGCTCCTCCGGGACCCCGCCTCCTACGTGCCCGACACCGTGGACCTGACCACCGACGCCCTGGCCCGCCAGTACTGGCTCACCTGCTTCGAGGAGGCCCTGGACGGGGTGAGGCTCGGGCTGCCACTCCCCGACGGGGCGGCGGGCGGGGCCCCACGGCCCCCACCGTCTGCAGCCTCGGCGGAGCCAGGCCCCGCCCCACGAGTGTACCGGTCAGGCTGCCTCTCTCACCCAGAACGGCTGGTAGGTGGGGCCGGCGCGGGGTTGGGGGTGCGCTGGCGAGCCCCCGCCCACAGATCCTCCCCGCAGGCTGTACGTGCACTCGGCCGTGGCCAACTGGAAGAAGTGCCTGCACGCCATCAAGCTCAAGGACTCCGTGCTGAGCCTGGTGTATGCGCGCGGGGCGGCGGGCGGGGCCCGGCGGGGGCGGGGCCAGCGGGCGGGTCCCTGGGGGGCCGGGGGCCGGGCGAGCTCGGGGCCCACTCACCAGCTCCCCTTGCAGGCACGTGAAGGGGCGGGTGCTGGTGGCCCTAGCGGACGGCACTCTGGCCATCTTCCACCGGGGCGAAGGTGAGCCTGGGCTGGCGGCGGCCGCCCCTGGGAGGCGTGAGCCCCTCCGGCCTGAGCACTGCCCTGGGTTCTGCAGATGGCCAGTGGGACCTAAGCAACTACCACCTGCTGGACCTGGGCCACCCGCACCACTCCATCCGCTGCATGGCCGTGGTGGATGACCGCGTGTGGTGCGGCTACAAGAACAAGGTGCACGTGATCCAGCCCAAGACCATGCAGATCGAGGTGCGAGCTGGAGCACGCAGGGTGGGGGGCAGGTCCTGGGCGGCCAGGCCAGGGGCTGCCGCTTCAGCCGGAACCCAGCTGGGCGCAGGCCGCTCGGGCCCCACGCGGGCCCGGTGCCCGCCGCACCCACCCGCCTGACACTGCCCGGGCCCACAGAAGTCATTTGACGCCCACCCCCGGCGGGAGAGCCAGGTGCGCCAGCTGGCCTGGATCGGCGACGGGGTGTGGGTGTCCATCCGCCTGGACTCCACGCTGCGCCTCTACCACGCCCACACCCACCAGCACCTGCAGGACGTGGACATCGAGCCCTACGTCAGCAAGATGCTGGGTGAGGACGACGGGGCTCCCCGCCGCCGGCCCCTGCGCTGCC